AATGAAAACAAAAATCCTCACCACTGGACCAATAAATAACATCAAGATAAATGGATAAAAGATTGAACTTGTCAAAGACTTCGTTTTGTTCAAATCAACCATCAATGCTTACGGAAGCATTAAGCAAATCTGCTGCACAAAACCTCTTTAAAGTGTTCAAGAGCAAGGATGTCAGTTTGAGGACTAAGGTGCCTGTCACCCAAGCCATGGTATTTTAAGTAACCTCATATGTGTGTGAAAGTTGGACAATGAATGAAGAAGACTGTAGAATTGATGCATTTGAGGTATGGTATTGGAGGGGAATATTAAGAATATGGATATTAAAAGAACAAATAAATCTGTATTGGAAGAAGTACAGCCAGAAGCTCCTTAGAAAATAGAATGGCCCGACTTTGTCTCTCATACTTGGGACATATTATCAGGAGGGACCAGTCCCTGGAGTAGGACATCATGTTTGGTAAAGTGGAGGGTCATCAAACAAAGGAAGACCCACAAGAAGATGGACTGACATAGCGGTAGCAGCAATGGGCTACAGGGTTGCAAGGATTGTGAGGTTGGCGCAGGACAGGCAGTGTTTCATTTTGTTGTATATAAGGTTGCTATTACTTGGTACCAACTTGATGGCACCTAACAACAACAAGAAGTCCAAATGCAAGCAAATAAGCAATTAGCTGTGTTTGGTGTTTCCTTGCCTCTCTAAAATTACTAATCTAAAACAAAAACAAACTCAAAAAGACAAGTTTTGTTGTTAAGTGCTGTCCAGTCAGTTTCGACTCATAGTAATTCTATATGTTGTTGTTGTTGTCAGGTGCCATCGAGTCGGAACCGACTCATAGCGACCCCATGCACAGCAGAACAAAACAATGTCCAATCCTGGGCCAACCTCACTACCGCTGCCACACTTGAGTCCATCAATGATGCCACCTGGCCAATCCATCTCGTTAGGGGTCTTCCTCTTTTTCTCTGACCCTCTACCTTACTCAGCATGACATTCTTCTCCAGCGACTGTTCCCTTCAGACAATATGTCCAAAGTATGAGAGATGAATCTTAGCCATCTTGGCCTCCAAGGAGCACTCTGGCTGCACTTCTTCCAAAACAGATCTATTGGTTCTTTTGGCAGTCCATGGCACTTTCAGTATTCTCCTCCAACACCACAACTCAAAGGCATCAATTCTACGATCTTCCCTATTCACTGTCCAGCTTTCACATCCATATGAGATAATTGAAAATACCATGGCTTGGGTCAGGCGTACCTTAGTCCTCAAGCTGACATCTGTGCTCTTCAACACTTTAAAAAGTTCCTGTGCAGCAGATTTACCCAGTGCAATACGTCGTCTGATCTCTTGACTACTGCTTCCGAAAGTGTTGATAGTTGATCCAAGAAGAATGAAGTCCTTGACAACTTCAATCTTTTCTCCATTGATAAGAATGTTGTTTATTGGTCCAGTGGTGAGGATTTTTGTTTTCTTGACATTGAGATGCAATCCATACCGAAGGCTGTGCTCTTTGATCTTCATCAGTAAATGTTTCAAGTCCTCTTCACTTTCAGCAAGCAAGGTTGTATCATCGGCATATCGCAGGTTGTTAATGAGTCTCCCTCCAATCCTGACACCACATTTTTCTTCATAGAACCCAGCTTCTCGTATTATTTGCTCAGCATACAGGTTGAATAAGTATATATAGGGTTTCCTATAGTAGACTCGACAGCACTTAACAACAACAACATAGTGGGTTTGAACCATAGGTTTGTTGTCCAGTGTTTAACCTAGAGCGCCATACCAGGAGTCCAAAAAGAAAAGTATTCACTGTATTGCTCTCTTATTACATTTTACACATTCCTCACTTCCTATAAGCACCTAGCTACATGTGTATTTATGTTCATAAGTGTATTTTTGGAGTCCCGGTATACCACTGTGGGTTAGTGCCCTGGATTGCTAGGTCAGTTTGAACAGCAACGTCAGCAGTTCAAGTTCACCAGTTGCTCCTCAGAAATCCTGTACAGGGTCACTATGACTTGGAACCAACTCGAAGGCACTTAACAACTGTATTTTCAGTCTAACAGTTGGTACTTTTCCCTTTCACTCCATTTCACATCATATTCCTTGGCTGCTTTCACACTGCTCTTTAAGCTATGTACTGCACCCACTCCCCACCCTTGGACTGGATATTCAGGCTGTTCCCAGTTAAAGCTATCATAATGCTGAAACAACATTTTTGTGTGCATACCTTTTAATTTTTATTTGCATTAGCTTTTGAAATATATCCCAGGGGAGAGATTACCAAGCATTTTAATCTTGTTCTTCCTATACTTCTTCCCCCAAATCTGTCTGTTTGCCCCAACTGATTTCGTGACTCCCCACATCTGGCCTTTCTGTAGCCAATTCTGCCTCCTTCCAGCATCCCTTCAGTAGCTTCCATTTCCTTCTGGCATTGGCTTCAGCAGGTTGAGGGGACCAAGGCAGGAGCCCACCCAAATGACAGCCAGTTTTCTCCCTCCCCCTCAGGGCCTGTTGCATTTTAAGAGAGCATCTCATCAATTGGATGAATGAAGGATAGAAATTTAATCTAAGATTATGAAATTCTATGAAACGAATTTTTATTTAATAAAAGAGTGAGACTTTTGCATGACATGTTAAGAAATCCAGTTTAAAATATATATATTATTTTTTAAACGGGGAGAGGTTCTGTAGCCTCTGCAGCTATATTTAGGCCGAAGGTTGAATGTCCATATAGTAACACTGGGCAAGCAGGCAGTTTCTAGATAAGAGGCAACCCTGCAGCCTCTGCCTCAATGGAACAGTAGTCTTGGGCAGGCGGGGAAGCCACTCTGACCCAGACCCCCAACAGCACCCGGCCGATCAGATCAGTTCTCTCTCCGGCCTCTGACGCCCCCTGGTGCCTTGAGGGGGAACCGCAGTCTTCGCGCTCACCCTGGTGTAGGTCTGCGGGCGCCTGGGCGGACAGACAGAGGTAGAGAGACCCTGGTGGTAGTGGTGGGTGGTTATGTGCCCTGGAGTTGGTTCCGACTCATAGCGACCCTGTATAGGGTTTCCAAGGCTGTAAATCTTTACTGGAGCAGAAAGCCTCATCTTTCTCCCGCGGAACCACTGGTAGTTTCGAACTGCCTCGTAACCACTACACTACCAAAGCTGATTATGTCCCCCCTTACCACTCCGTCATCAATTAATATTCAGTGGCATCTGCATTTCGCTTGAGAGGTAAGATGAGGCAACTGAGAATCAGAACTCTACATGAAGCTCTGGAGGTCTCATGGCCCTCATATTAGAAGGACGATGATATGTCTGAATGAAGGTCCGAGATGTTGAGGAGAGAGACTTTCAGGAGCAGTCTGGGTAGGTAGGATAAAGGAAAAGGGTGCCTGGAATGAGACGAAGGGTGTTTGGGGATTGAGGTTAAGGGTCTGGGGAATTTAGAACCTGCCACATCCCCTACCTTAGTATAACAGCCTGTCCGATAAGTGGTGGAATAAAAGATTTGGTTGTGTGCCACTAAGTTGGTTCTGACTCCTAGCCACCTTGCATAGACTTTCCGAGGCTGTAAATCTTTGCAGGTGCATAAAGCCTCATCTGTCTCCCACAGAGCAGCTAATAGATTCGAACTGCTGACCTTGCAGTTATCAGCCCAGCTCGTAATCTACTAAGCTACCAGGTATGCTTACCTACTATTAAATCCTATCATAACCCAATTTTAATTTTTGTTAATACATGTTTTTTCATTAATGAAAGGAGAATTTCAGAAATTTTGTTGTGAAATATGGATTTTGATACATATTATATGGGACACATATGACCCTCTGGACTCAAGATAAAATTAAGTGGGACACATGTGTCCCTCTTGATTCTGCACCACCTTCTAGATCCTTGACAGGAGCATATCATTTAGTGTGCTTGGAATTACAGTCTGCCTCCACAAAGATTTATAATCTTGGAACCCCTATTGGGCAGTTCTTGGTGCTATAGGAAAACCACTGGATTGCTAACCACAAGGTCAGTAATTCAAACCTGCCAGCCATTCCTCAGAAAACCTATATCGGGTCCTTTGAGTTGGAATCAATTCTATGGCACTTAACAATAACTACAACTCTGTCCTATACAGTCACTATGAGTTGGAAGTTGACTCAGTAGCAATGGGTTGCCTTTTGTTTCATATCCTCATAAGAAGCCTTGGTGGCAAAGTGGTTAAGTGTTTCCATTGCTAATTAAAAAGGTCGGCTGTTTGAATCCACCAGCCATTCCACAGGAGAAAGCTGTAGCAATTTGCTTCCATACAACTTAAAACCTAGGAAATCATATGGGGCAGTTCTTCTTTGTCATGACTCTGAATTGAGTCAATGGCTCCCAACAACAAGAGATCATTAAACCAAGGGGTAGACAAACGACAGCCAAATGCATCCTGTAGTCTGTTTTTGTATGTCTTGAGAACCAAGATTTTTTTTTTTTAAAGACTATTTAAAACAGAGGTGAAGAAAGAGAAGCAGCTGCAATATATGACCCACAAAGCCGAAAGTATTTAGTGTCGAGCCCTTTACAGAACAAGCTCTACATTCCCCCATTTTGCAGATGGGAATGCTAAGACCCAGAGAAATTGAAGAGCTCATTTACAATGGCACAAATTAGTCAATAGCAGAAGGAGCTGAAACACGCTGGTGGAGAGAACTCTAGCTCTACTCCTAGCTACCAGGATACTTGAGTAGCTGTCCCACTGGGCCTCAGTATCCCCACTTTTATAAAGGTGATGTTACCAGGACTCCAAACCAACCTTGTAAAGCTAGTTGTCTGTACAGGCTACTCTGTGATGGTGAAAGGCCACTGGGGAGATATTTTTGGGGTGGACTGATTTTTCAACTTTACACTGAATCATTAAGCTATGAATTCCTCTGACTGGAAAGAAATAACACAGAGTGTATGTGTGTTTGGAGAAGAAGTCATTGTCAAACCCCACCTGATTCATGTCTTTTCTTTGGCTTCTCCCCATCCAGTGCCACCGTCCAAGCCAGAGTGTGGCATCAAGGGAGAGATGGTGATTGGAAACAACATTGAGCTGACCTGCCAATCAAAGGAGGGCTCACCAACCCCTCAGTACAGCTGGAAGAGCTACAACATCCTGAACCAGGAGCGGCCGCTGGCCCAACCAGGTAATAGTGGTGGGGGTGGGGATCAGCAGTTAGGACCAGAGTCCCTACTTCAAGGAGCATCTGATTGATTAGAGTTGCTAGACCCTGGGGCTGGCTGACGAATCAGATCCCCCTGAAGCCTGCCCTCTATACCCCCAATTGCCATTGTGATATCTTGGGTCATCTTTCTTAGCACCATTTTCTCAGTTGTAGAGGATAAACACTGAATTGCTAACTGCAAGGTCGGCAGTTCAAACCCACCAACCACTTCTTGGAGACTCTATACAGGGTTGCTATGAGTCAGAACCAACTCAACAGCACACAACAACTTCTTAAGTTGTGAGCAGTGAAAATGATTCATGTGTAACACTTAGCACAGTACCCAGTAATACGAAGCGCTTGATAAATGTTAATTATTGTTTTCTTTATTCCCTACAACTCAATTCTTTTGAATAAGCAGGTACTGTTAACCCCTCTGTACAAAGCACTGACAGGGAAGTTTATTTTGATAATGATTATGTCCTAAAGTGGCTGGCGGTTCAAACTCACCAGCCGCTCCTTGGAAACCCTACATAGGTTCGCTATGAGTTGGTACTGACTTGACAGCCCTTAACAATAACAACAACATATCCTAAAATATATAATGCCACAAATCTAACTGTTGTCCACCCCCCACCAGGAGTTGTTTTAATGTGTCATTGAGTCAGTTCCAACCCATAGCAACCCTGTATAGGGTTTCTAATGTTGTAGGAATTTCGGAGGCTGTGAATCTCTGTTGTTGTTAGATGCTGTCAAATTGGTTCCGACTCATAGTGACACTATGCACAACAGAATGAAACACTGCCCAATCCTGTGCCAATCTCACAACTGGTATTATTCTTGAGCCCACTGCTGCTGCCACTGTGCCAATCCATCGTGTTGGGGGTCTTCTTCTTTTTCACTGAGCCTCCACTTTACCAAGCATGATGTCCTCCTGCAGGGACTGGTCCCTCCTGATAATGTGCCCAAATTATGAGAGATGAAGTCTCGCCATCCTTGCCTTTAAGGAGCTCTGTGACTGTTCGTCTTCCAACATGAGCCTGTTTGCTCTTCTGGCAGTCCATGGTACTTTCAGTGTTTTTCTCTAGCGCCGTAACTCAAATGCATCTATTCTTCCAAGGTCTTCCTTATCATTGTCCAACTTTCACAAGTGTATGAGACTATTGAAAATGCAGAAGCAGAAAGCCTTATCTTTCTTTTGTGGAGTGGCTGGTGGATTCAAGCCATCTCCCCTGAGGTTAACAGTTTACATCTAACCCACTATACTATCAGGGTCTCCACTGAAGAGTAGGGGATTTCTATTCTCATTCTCTGTCCAGACCAGTCCATGTCAGACTCCTCCATGGCCCTACCTCCCCAAACACAACACCTCTTTATGGACACACCCAATGACACTACCACACCTGCTGTGAGGGTCCTACATTCTCAGGCCAAAGGATGATAGGTTCAGCAATGGTAGCCAGGAGACTGGTTTTGTACTGAGTGCCTTGGTATTTGACCTTTGGGTCAGGAAACAAGCTGGAAAGAAATTTTTTTTTAAAGATTTATATAAATGGCCTAATGTGGGCCAACTGGTGTGGGAATACCCTGGTGGGATCTCTGGACTCCTGAAGCCCACTGCTGCCAAACCAGCTGTGCCCAGTGCGCCCAAAGATCTAGAAATACAAGGCCTGAAAGGTATCCATCGGATTTAACATCTGGATGTCTTTCAGTTCAGTGTGGATTTAAAGGAAACAGGAGATAAAACGTGGAGTCAGTGAGTATAAACAAGTAAGGTGGAGTGTGAGTGAGCGGGGAAACATTTGGTGTCATGGGTCAGCAGAATCAGTTGTGTGCACTGATTGGGGGTTGGAGTCAAACAACGATGAATTTCGTCACTCTACCTTTTACTTAGCGTAGTGGTTATGAATCGGGCTGTGAACCTTAAGGTCAGCGGTTCGAAACTACCAGCCGCTCCGCGGGAGAAAGATGAGGCTTTCTACTCCCGTAAAGATTTACACCCTCGGAAACCCTGTACAGGGTCGCTATGGGTCGGACCCGACTCGATGGCACTTAACAACAACAACAACAACCTTTTACTTCAGTGGGCAAAAACAAGAACTTCTTTAAAATAATAGAATCCACTCACTCTAATGTATAAATAGAAGCTGAAATATGGATTTCGACAAGTTTCCTGTTTACATACTTTTGGTTGGCAGATTTTTATTGAGTGTGTTTGGAGTTTTTGTCGAAGCCACCTGGCAGTGTTCCTCTGGCTCTGTGGCCACCCACTCTCTGGCCTGTGAATAATCCAGTGACTCAGTAATGATCACACCAGGTCTACTATGGACACTGATTGTGTCTGACCTCCTTTCTAGCAAAGTGTATATCCAGGGACCCAAAGCTGAAGGTTACAGGTGATAAATGAGGATTTCATATCCAATGATGTTGTAACACAGGGTGCTTAAGGGCTCACACGGGCATCCATCAGGAAAAACTCTTCTGGTTGCTAGAAGCCATGACTTAGCTCTTCAGTGATTCCAAAGGGAATAAAGTGGACTAAAGGGAGATTTGCTTATTTACTTTGGAAAAGTTCCCGCAAGTCTAGATTTGCTTAGTCAGAATTGGGATCTGGGGGTGGCAGAGAAGAATGTGGTAATAACTTAATCTTGCATCTGGATGGTGGTAGGTAGGTTTCTCAAAACGTCTTGTCTCCACCCTGCCTAGAGTGTTTCCCTTCTCTATGTCAGGCCCTACATGTTTCTGACTTTTAAAAACATTTCAGTCCCTAGTAAGATGATATGGGGAGGAGGATATCCTCCACCATCCTACATCTGAAGACAGAATCTCCACTATTAGAGATTTATTCCTTTGGCTAAGTAGTGAGTGAAAGCAAGCTAACAGTGAAAAGAACAGGGAATCTGGAATTCCTTAAACAGAACTGAGTCCTGGTCGTTAAGTCACTCAGCTTCTCTGCCCTTAGTGTGCTCATCTGAAACTCTAGGATAAAAATGTGTAATGCCACTTTCCTGAAAGCTCTGAAGAGGATAACAGGAAATCACATATGGGATAGTTTGGAAATTCTGCCCCAGTCAGCCAGGTTTCATACACTGAAGGAATAGAAATTTGAGTCTAAGAGAAAGAAGGAGAGGTAATTTGAGGGCTAGAACCTTTTAGGGGAGAGATTCTGAAGGTTCTAAATGGCCCTGTTTATAGCATCCAGAGTCCTGGTGTGACTCTGTAGGATAAGCACTAGACTGCTAATCATAAGGTCAGTGGTTCAAACATACCAGCTACTCCTTGGAGACCCTATACAGGGTTGTTATGAGTCAGCATCGACTTGATGACACAAACAACAACATAGCAGCTGGGGAGGATCTTGAGGGCTTGGGTGAGAAGTGGGAACTCAAGCTTGTTGAGTAGCCATGAGATTGGGGTAGGGGCAGCAAAGGTAAATTTTACCAGTTTGACATCAATGTCTTGGGGAGGCCAAAGCTTTTCTGGAGGAAAATTTACCCCCAGCTGGAGCAGAAGGAAGGTGGCAAGCTGACAATTCTTTGTGTTCCTTTCCTGGACCACAAGATGTCGCCACTGCAGCGGTAACGTTAGTTGTAGCTAGTTTTCAGGAACTTTCCAAGAGGAAAAGGGGGCTTGGAAGCCTCAACTCAGAATCAAAGCAGGCTTGGAGGCACGGGATGATTCCCAGAGCATCTTCTACTATTTACTGTTTGCTTGGGGAGCTGGGGAAGGGTAGTATATACTCCCAAACACTGAGCGTGGTCTATAGCTGGACTTTGATGTCTGACAAGGTCCTGAGGTAGCTTCTAACTTGAATTTGTCTGCAATGTGCTATGGAAACTTAACAAAACCAATTGCCATCAAGTTGATCTGATGCATGGCAACCCCAGGTGTGTCCGAGTAGACCTGTGCTCCATAGCATGATCAGAAGTAGATTGCTTCTGGGTGAAATGCAACCTCTGACCCCTTTTTTTGTGGGGAGAGGAGGGCACTAGCAGCTGAGCACAATAACCCTTTGCACCACCCAGGAACTCAATAAATCTAATACAAAGATGGAATTCACTTTATAAAGTAGTGGACTCTGATAAGAGCTACAGGTCCCCTAAGTGTGCCCAGGGTCAAAAAGCTAAGGAAACATTTCCAAAAGTGAGCTCCTTCAAGATACCTTAAAATAATAATAATAATAATAATAATCTTGTGGTCTAATTAGTTTAGAGAATGAGATTAATACCCTCCCTTAAAGATTCTCATTATTTGTTAAGCCCTGATGGACATGTTTATATTAATATCAAGCTTCAAATTCATCAATCAAGTTATAATAAGAGTCGGTCCTAAGTAATAAAGAAAGAGATGTACTTCATAATTCATTTAGTGAACTCTCCATCAGTCTTGACTGTGAACTGAGATGTAACGGGCTGTTTAACTTTTTAATTGACTGCCTGTTTTGAATGCATAGAATTTAAGCATCCATGCATGAAGTGTTAGAATAAATGATAAAGAGTTGGGAGCTAAGTGCTAGGGCCTCTCAAACAGCCAGATACAAAGGACCAGGTATTCAATTGACCAATAAGTATGCCTGAAGGATAGATAGATAGATAGATAGATAGATAGATAGATAGATAGATAGATAGATAGATAGATAGACAGACAGACAGACAGAAAGAATTGGTGTGGATTGTTAAGGAAATCAGCCCAGGGATTCCATAAAGTATGTCCTCAACCCAGAATGTTTTCCCCAGCAACTGCCCAGAGCAGACACTTAATATATATTTACTGAGTGAACAAATGACATTGAGAGTAAACAAAATTTAAATGTGTAAAAATTAAAGAAAAAAAAAAAAAACAACAACAAACCCTGAGAGTTCTGACATTAAGCAACTCATTAACTGTAACTCAGTGATTTCTACACTTCCTTTGGCCATGGGCTCCCTGTTTAGTAACACATTAATATTATATGTAAGTCTGGTTCTAGAAAACACACTGAA